CATCCATATGTATGTCCACCAGTTAGCTCTCTGTAAATTTGATGTCAGCTACTAATTATTGTGAAAATAACGTTCTCCACCAGCACTGTTGTGACAGCGTGATTATTAAAGCACGTCATTTTACCTGCTGGTGTCATCTAGCCGACCAGCTGAGGCTGTGCATGTTGCACACACACAGAAACACCTGCTTCCCATTAGAGAATCAGGAGCTCCACGGTCTGCACCCTGCACTGGCCTCCCTGCCAGGGTGCACAGAGGTCCCTCTCCGTGAAACCCACCACCAAATATGTCATCAGATTGTGCGTTTCCCTCAGGAAATTCCATTTAGGTTAATCTTGGCACACAACTGGGGGCAGTTCTTGAGCAGTTTCTGCTGTGATGACTTGCAACGTGTAAAATGTTCCTGCAACATGTTGCAGAAATCACTGGAAGGCCCTGGTGTTACTCAGTGGATAGAGTGTCAGCCCGTGGACTGAGGGCATTTTCTTAGCTCTTTGGACTTTTCTGCATTTCTCCAAATGAAGAAGATATTATCTGTGACTAAAAAATAATAGAAAGTGTTATAGAAATATGACCCAAGTATGGTTACATGATGATGGGGTTTACTTAAAAATAGATTCCAGATGAAACAATATATGAAGTCAGTGGTGAAAATAAGAAGACACCCTGTTAACAGCATTCTGCTAAGTGCTTTCCATGTTTACCTCTTCTGATCCTCCCAAAAGTGCTCTGAGGTAGATATTGCACCATCCCCAGCCACAGATATCGCAGTTGAGCCTCAGAATGCCTAGTAAACATGTCCAAAGGGGCAGTGCCCCCAAGTGGCAGAGCCAGACCATGACCTAGGTCCAGCAGAGACTAGTGCAGCTGTGGGCAAACTATGGCCCGCGGGCTGGATCCGGCCCGTTTGAAATGAATAAAACTAAAAAACAAAAAAAAGACCGTACCCTTTTATGTAATGATGTTTACTTTGAATTTATATTAGTTCACACGAACACTCCATCCATGCGTTTGTTCCGGCCCTCCGGTCCAGTTTAAGAACCCATTGTGGCCCTCGAGTCAAAAAGTTTGCCCACCCCTGGACTAGTGCCACCTTAAGCTCCCACTGATGGCACTTTGGTGGTGCCTCTGAGAGACCTGGGAGACATAGGCCATCACTGTTAAGTCATCTGCTTCAGAAACCAATTGACCAGTCTCCCAAGATACAAACCAGAATTCAGGCCAAATTCATTTTTGGACACTATCTTCTCAAAGATCTGCATGTGGTAGAAATGTTCTCAGTGCCAACTCCACAGAGAAGTGACCCACGGGCATCACACAGCCAGTCAGTGGTCGAGCAAGGGCTCGCCCGAGGTGTCCTGAGTCCCAGTCCAACGTCCTTTCCATGGTGCCGACTGCCTTTCCTGCTGACAGAAGCTCCACTGATCAATTACATGGCCGTGATCTGGAGAATGCCAGCTGCTGTACAGTAGCACAGTACAGGGATCTAGACATGTTATAACATTTATAGAACTACACACCAAGAAAAAGTGGTAAAATCAAAGTCAGGTTTACTCATGAGTTGATGTGTCGTGCTGATGACCATGTTTTGATGCTGGGCTATGCTTATGTGAGGTATTGTCATGTGATAGGCTGAGTAAAGGGGCACTGAAACTCTGTATTGTTTTTGCAACTGCTTGTGAGTCAAAATGTTTCAAGATAAGAATTTATAACAATAAAAACTAATGTAATAGGAAGATTAACTAAAATATTTAATCACTTACTATGTGTAAAGTATAGGGTTAAAGCAGCCCATGTGGGAGAGATACGTACGTGGTTGGTGCTCCATAATATTGGAAGAGGAGAATGCCAGTCTCTTCTGGGCCAGGCTCTCACTGAGATGTGACAACAGTGCTGGACTTCTTCCTCTGCATTTAGTCACCGCTACCATCCTCGCCTTCAACAAAGCTGGAGCTCAGGGCAGCCTCTGATCCTTGGGCAGGGCGGGGCCAGAAGTTGGGAGGATTTTGGCATAATGGTTAAAACATGGGATTATGGTTCAAATCCCAGCTCTAGCTTTTTAAAAAATATTTTTTTATTGATGTTTAGAGAGAGAGAGGGGAGAGAGAGAGAGAAATATCAATTGGCTGCCTCCTGCACACCCCCTACTAGGGATCGAGCCTGCAACCCGGGCATATGCCCTAACCAGGAATGGAATCTGCGACCTCTCCATGCATGGGACAGTGCTCAACCAACTAAGCCACACCAGCCGGGGCAAAACTAAGTATCGTGGTGTGTTCCCGTGGTCCTAACTTCTTTCCTAAGTCTTTCCTACAAAAGCAATATCACAGATTGCTTTTAAGATTAAATGAGAAAAATGCATGTTCAGAGGACTGTAATTGTGAATATGATGATGCTGAAAAGGATTCAAACTCCTCCAACTGATCAGTCACAAAGGCCTGTCCATTTTGCTTCCTAGATGTCTCTCAAATCCTCTTCACTCCATCACCATTCCCCTAGTTCAGGCTGGGATGTTGCATCATCCTCTAGACTTTATGTACCTCATTGTTAATTAACAACTTTCTAAAAGAGTGTAAATCCTGGCCCAGCATGACATAGAGAATGCAGGCCTCCTCTTGTCTAATAAATCCATATGTGTGTCCCATCACCCCAGTTAGACTCAAATTCCCGAAGGCAGAAACGGAGTTTGACACAGCCTGGGATGGCCTCGCCCACCTGCCTGGTGTAGTCACGCCACAGCATCGGCGATGAAAATGCATGTTTGCATGTTCAGGTTCTCCCATGGCTGGGCCTTCCTGTCACTCGGGTCCTGGCCCATGGATCACTCCCTTAGCCAGGCCACACCTGGACACCCAGTCCAAATGGCCCCTCATTATATCATCTGATTCTCACATATGCCCTGGGCTGGAGAACGGACAGTTGTCAGGTATGTAATTACCTAAAAATAAAGATCTTGAATGCATGTTGTCTGCCCAGTCCTCCTTGTAGGATTGTCCCTCCTGCTTTGTGAAGTGCCTGTGGGGCATTTGGCAACTCCATGGCAACCCAGTCTTTCAGAGACCTGGGGTAATCACTAGAACACTGAAAGGGTGCTCTGTCAGCTCTTGTCACACCCCAAGCAAGGTTTGCATACCCCTAGTTCTGATTTCTCTTTTGAGGAGTGAACCCTGGTCATTCAGAGTCCAGAGCTGAACCCTGAAGAGACAGAATGTCGCCCCTTTAGTTCTTGCCATTGCTTGTATGGCCATACAGTCAGAGGCACTCCTTAATCCTGTTAGGATCTTGCAACAATCTCTGTTGGTGGTAGCATTTTTTTTGTTTGTTTGTTTCAAAGCAAAGGAGAACTGAGGAGTTAAGAAGGTGGAAATCATATGTGGAAAACATTTTTCCCCTGCTAAAATATGCATGGGGCAGGGACAAGAAATATTTGAGCAAACATGGCATTTTGAAAGGCTAATTGCATGTGAATGAACATATTGAGATGATGTCTGTTATTGTCAGAAATAATGTTTTGCAGAGAAGCTATTGGTGAAGAGTGACCAGTTATTGTTGATGGACTAACTGCTTTCAGGAATATGGCAGTGACAGTGCAGACCCGGAGTGCCTGCAGCACGATGTCAGTCAGTGTGAACGTGGAGGGGAAGAACGGAAACCTCCTGACTTGACTCTGCCTATATGATTTGACCCACAGGACCCACATGCACAGACCCAGGCTTGTTTAACAAGATCAGAAGTGGACTTTTAATGGTTTGCAGACCACTTTGCCCCTGAGATGAGGTCTGATGGTTAGAATTCAAAAACCAACACAAGCCTGTCTTCAGCAAACATGTGTCTCAAGTTTTAGAATTCCATTCTGGTTTCAAGTATTGTTCCCTGTTCCCATACCTCAGTGAAATGATTCTGTCATTCCGTATTTCATTGTCCATGCCACAGTCCACTGCTCTGTCTGCCTGGGGAGAGGTGATGGAAGTCTTTGCTCAGATCACGTATTCCTATTTGGGGTTTAGGAGTGCGCTGTGAGTTCTCTGCATCAGCTCCAGGAGTGGAAAAGGATTCCATGCCAATCGTTCATTCTGACCCAACGTTTAGCTTTTTTATGCAAAATAAAATTGCCCCAACAGAAACATAAATGGGGACTGGAAAGATAAAGCAAAAAAATCTTGGAATGAGAAATGGGAGATTCTTTCAGGAGGAAATGTGGGAAGTCAGAGTTCCTTTAAACACTGATGAGAATGCCTGTACTATCTTTGTACACCACTGATTTAGATGTGATCATCCAGGTTGCTGATGTTTCTGGCCCCTGCTTCCCTGCACCCTCTGCCCTGAGGAAGTATGTTGAAGGAGCCAAACAGAAGTCCTCTATCCAGCTCCTCAGAGCCACAGTGAACAATGGGAACCCAAATATCAACAAATTTAATTTCCTAAGAAACTGGGCCTGAGAACATGACTTTTAGGGATACTTTGCTAAGTGTTTGTATCATCAAGTCATTTAGAACAGAAAACTTGGGGGCAGACCCCAGTGTTAAGTGTGGCACTTATGGTCTCAAAGAACTTGTTTATATAAAAGTCCCAGCATGGCCCTGCCTCTCCTCTCTGAGTCCCTTGGGGGATGGATCTGCAGGACAGCTTCATTGTCCAGCCTGTGTGATAAATGTCTGTAGCCCCACACTCTCCCTACCCCTATCCCTGCATTATTTTTCTGCTGGTCATTTTCTACCACCAAATGCATTCTTTAGTTTACTTGTCTTATTACTGTCTGTTTCCCCACCATCCCCTAGAATGTACATTTCACACATACTTAGAAGGTCCTTGCCCAGAGTAGATGCTCTATGATAATCTGTTGAGTGAAGGGAAGCAGGAACTTGCTCATCTGTAGGAATGGAATGGGGCAGGAGGAGGGTCAATTTGAGCCCCACCACTAGATCTTCATCCCTTTTCCCTCTTTCCTCGGATGCCCCTGAGAGATGCTACAAGAGTCTTCTGTTTCCACCTCTTTGCAGAGCATCGGCTGTGACGACTACCTAGGCTCCGACAAAGTGGTGGACAAATGCGGGGTGTGCGGAGGCGATAACACAGGCTGTCAGGTTGTGTCGGGCGTGTTTAAGCACGCCCTCACCAGCCTGGGCTACCACCGCGTTGTTGAGATTCCCCAAGGAGCCACAAAGATCAACATCACCGAGATGCACAAGAGCAACAACTATTTGGGTAAGCTTGGTCTTTTTCCAGAGAAAACATCTGTCACTCCAGCTGGTTTATTCCAGGGTGGTGAGATGAACCCAGCAGTGTCCAGAGGTTCTCAGACACATAGTGTCACTAGGAATGCCAAAGCAATGTCTTCACAGTGAAATGAGCAGCTTGGGTGGGAAAATTTAAAAAGTCATAATTGCAAGTAAATGTTTAGTATTTACACTAATAAGCCATTCTTTGCTCTTTCCAAGAGAAATACGGTTATGATTTCAACTAGAGGCCCGGTGCACAAATTCATGTACCAGTGGGGTCCCTCAGCTTGGCCTGCGGGATCTGGCCAAAAATGGCTCTCCGACATCCCCCGAGGGACCCCAGATTATGAGAGGGACAGGCCAGGCTGAGGGACCCCACCAGTGCATGATCGGGGCCGGGGAGGGACGTGGGAGGTTGGCCAGCTGGGGAGGGACTGCAGGAGGGCTCCAGGGCGTATCTGGCCCATCTCGCTCAGTCCCGATCAGCCAGACCCCAGCAGCAAGCTAACCTACTGGTCAGAGTGTCTGTCCCCTGGTGGTCAGTGCACATCATAGCGAACAGTTGAGCAGCCTTAGCATATCATTAGCATATTACATTTTGATTGATTGAACAGCCAACTGGTCAACCGGACACTTAGCATATTAGGCTTTTATTATATAGGACTAGTGACCCGTCGCACGAAATCACGCAAGACCAAGGACCCCTTCCCCTCCGCCCCACGCCATGGGACCACCCTGAGTCCCGGAGTCCCGCCCTGCATGGCTGGCGTGCCACAGGATGGCCCCAAGTCCTAGAGTGCTGCTCCAATGCCCTGCCTCTGGGCCACGTGGACCGGCCACTGGGCCCCACCCCCAAGGCGTGCACATAGGGCGTGGAAACCCTGGCAGAAGTCATGCAAGGCACCCGCCAGGACCCCCACAGCACGCACGCACACAGGGCCACGGAAACCCCGGCAGAAGCTGCACAAAGTGGACACCGGGACCCCTGCGCCCCCACAGGGCTGCAGGAACGCCTGCGGAAGCCACGCAGAGTGGACATCGGCCCCGCCCCTGCTGCCTTGCCCCTGCTGTATGCGCTGCCATCTTGTGACAACGTTATGGCGTGAGGATCAATTTGCATATTACCTCTTTATTATCCTATCTAATAAAAGAGAAACATGGTAATTAGCCGTACATCCGCTACCCTTCCCATTGGTTAATCAGGGCGATATGCAAATTAACAGCCAGCCAAGATGGCGGCCAGCAGCCAGGAAGCTTGAAGCTAACATGAGGCTTGCTTGCTTCAGTGACGGAGGAATCCAACGTTCCCCGCCTGCCTTGCCGGCCTCTGAGCTTGCAGTTTGAAACATTGTTACAAATATAGAAGCTAAACAAAACCCCAGAAACCTGCATTCAGCCAGCCAGGATCTCAGTGCTGGAGTTGATACAGTGTTTCGATTATAGAACCCAAACAAACCAGATACCTGCTTTCAGCAGCAGAGGCCTCAGAGCTGGAGCCAGAGCTAAAGCTGGCCCAGAATAAAAAAAGAAAAAGAAAAAAAGGAGCAGTTGGGAGCTTCAGTCACCCGACAGCCTGAAAACAGCCCTCAGCCCCTCACCCAGACTGGCCAGGCACCCCAGTGGGGACCCCCATCCTGAAGGGTGTGTGACCAGCTGCAAACAGCCATCATCCCCTCACTCAGGCTGGCCAGGCGCCCCAGTGGGGACCCCCACCCTGAACCAGGACACCTTTCAGGGCAAACCAGCCGGCCCCCACCCATGCACCAGGCCTCTATCCTATATAGTAAAAGGGTAATATGCCTCCCAGCACTGGGATCAGCGGAGCAGCGAGGCCTCCCAGCACCGGGATCAGTGGAGCCGAGAGGCCTCCCGGCACCGGGATCAGCATGACAGGGGGCAGCGCCCAAACACCTTGATCGCCCTGCGGCTCTGTGTGTGACAGGGGGCATGGCCACAACTTCCCTATCCGCCCTGCTCTGTTCGTGACAGGGGAAGGTGCCCCAACCCCCTGATCAGCCCTGCTCTGTGCCTGATAGGGGGGAGCTCCCCAACACCCTGATCGCCCTGCGGCTCTGTGTGTGACAGGGTGCGGCACCCCAACCCCCTGATCGGCCCTGCTCTGTGTGTGACAGGGTGCAGTGCCCCAACCCCCTCCCCCCCCCCCCACGGGCCCTGCTCTGTGTGTGACAGGGTAGAGCCATAACCTCCCCATCGGCCCTGCCCTGAGTGTGAGAGTGGCGGCGCCCCAAACCCCTGATCGGCCCTGCTCTGTGGGTGATAGAGGGTGGTGCCCCAACCACCCCCCCCATGGGCCCTGCTCTGTGTGTGACGGGGTAAAGCCATAACCTCCCCATCGGCCCTGCCCTGAGTGTGAGAGTGGCGGCGCCCCAACCCCCTGATCGGCCCTGCTCTGTGTGTGACAGGGGGCGGTGCCCCAACTCCCCTATTGGCCCTACTCTGTGAGTGACAGGAGGGAGCTCCTCAACCCCCTGATCGGCCCCGCTCTGTGCGTGACAGGGGGCAGCGCCCCAACCCCCTGATCGACCCTGCTCTATGCGTGACAGGGGGTGGCACCGCAACCTCCCCATCGACCCTGCCTTGAGTGTGACAGGGGGCGGTGCCCCACCCCCCAATCGGCCCTACCCTAGTGTGACTGAGGGTGGCATCGCAACCTCCCAATCCGCCCTGCTCTGTGCATTACAGGGGGCAGCGCCCCAACTCCCCAATCAGCCCTGCTCTGAGCCCGACCAGGGGCTGCACCTAGGGATTGGGCCTGCCCTCTGCCACCCGGGAGCAGGCCTAAGCCAGCAGGTTGTTATCTCCTGAGGGGTCCCAGACTGCGAGAGGGCACAGGCCGGGCTGAGGGACGCCCCCTCCCCCTCGAGTGCACAAATTTTTGTTCACCAGGCCTCTAGTATAGGATAATGGGCTAAACCAGTGGTCGGCAAACTCATTAGTCAACAGAGCCAAATATCAACAGTACAACGATTGAAATTTCTTTTGAGAGCCAAATTTTTTAAATTTAAACTATATAGGTAGGTACATTGTTATTAACTTAATTAGGGTATGCCTAAGGCTTAGGAAGAGCCACACTCAAGGGGCCAAAGAGCTGCATGTGGCTCGCGAGCCTCAGTTTGCCGACCACAAGGCTAAACTGTCTCTCTGAGATGGGGAAGCTCTTTATAAAGCCCAGAGATCTGCCAGTCTTTGTCCTGCTGGAGTTTGAAGTAGCCAGTGGCAGTTGATGATCCTGTCTGGACCTTTACTCCCTGGGGGTCTAAAGCAAAAGCCATTTTTCTCTTCTTTCTGCCTCATCTGCCTGGGGTGACAGTACGTCTGTGTCTTATGAACAGCTGCAGAGCCGCTCAGCAATCATTTGGGGCAATATCATCAATAGGAGAGGCCATTTTTAACCCATTTTCCCACAAAGGGAAATTTTTGTTGCTTTCTGAGTTTCTAGCTGATTGCGTTTATGCAAAACAATAGAGGCCTTACAAATTAATTTTTACCTATTTCTAATTCAAGTAAGCGTGTACAAAATCAGTTAACAAAATACTATAAGGAAAGCAATTTCTTTTAGTGAACAATGCTCATTTTTAGGTTTGAATTACTTATTTAACAGGAACTTAAATAGCACAGCCGGTGCCAGGCATTGTCCTTAGGGCTTTCCATGTGTTAGATTGCTGAACACTGAACAGCCCTAGGGGATAGGAGCTCTTCCCATCCCCATTTTATAGATAAGAAAACAGGCACAGGGAGATAATGTAACTTGTTAAGGTCACACAACAAGGAAGAGGTGGAGCTGGGATTTGAACCCAGGCTGTCTTTTCCAAGCGCAATAGTATACTGAGAGATAATGCTCAGGACTAGTTCTCAGAATCAAGGCCTTCCAGAATACCATCAGCCATGCAGCAGTCAGTGGCTGCAGCAGTTGAGAGATCATTAATTTTGCAAACTTCAAGCATCAGGATCACCAAGAACTCCAGGTTCTGCAGCTCTTCTTTCTCTGTCCAGTCGAATGCAACCAAAATTAGCCTCACTTAGTTTTATTGGTGGGAGGAGGAAGTGATGGCAGATGGAACTCTGAGACAAACCAAATTAAAGTGGAAAGGCATTACATTGACTCTGGCAAACCCAGGAGCCGTCAAAGTGGCAATAAGCCTAAGTTCCCAGTGAATGGTTTGTGTTATTTTTTCTTTTTAATTTTTAAAACATTTTTTTATTGATTTCAGTGAGGAAGAGAGAGAGAGAGAGAGAGATGATAGAAACATCAGTGATGACAGAGCATCATTGATCAGCTGTCTCCCACACGCCTCACACTGGGGATGGAGCCTGCAACCCAGGCATATGCCCTGACAGGAAATTGAATGGTGACCTCTGGTTCATAGGTTGACACTAAACAACTGAGCCACGCTGGTGGGCTTGTGTGTTATTCTTAGTTGTAAGAAGTAGTCTTGCCCTATCCAGTTTGGCTCAGTGGATAGAACACCGGCCTGCGAACTTAAAGGTCCCAGGTTCGATTCTGGTCAAGGGCATGTACCTTGGTTGTGGGCACATCCCCAGTAGGAGGTGTACAGGAGGCAGCTGATCGATGTTTCTCTCTCATCGATGTTTCTAACTCTCTATCCCTCTCCCTTCCTCTCTGTAAAAAAAAAAAAAAAAAAAAAAAAAAAAAAAAAAAAAAAAAAAAAAAAAATCAATAAAATATATTTTAGAATAAAGAAATAGTCTTGTATGTTTCCTCCTTTCTTTTGTAGTATTAGACCACATTTGCATAAACATCCTGTCTTCTAGAATGGGAGTGTTCTTCAGGATTATTTGAAGTGTGGTGTTCAAATGTACCAGCAAACAATGCCACTTTTTATAAGCTTTGTGTTGTTTTAGTAAGTTTTCCCTGGCTTGAATTAGTCCTATGCAGTAAGGGGTTTTTAAAGTTGTGCCCTCTGAACATAAGATCCATATCCTGGGTGAATAAACACTGGGTGT